ATAACTCCAATTCCAGGAGATCTGCCACCTTCTGACTTCCTTGGGCATTGCATGACACAGGTCCACTTATATACATGCAGGCAACACACTCATGCTCATAAAATGAAAAAAAAAAAAGTCTGAGGCCAGGTATGGTGGCATACACCTTTAATCCCAGCACTTGGAAGGCAGAGCAGGCAGATCTTGGTGAGTTTGAGACCAGCCTGGTCTACATAGTGAGTTCCAGGACAGCTGGGGACTACAGGGAGACCCGCTTAACCTTGCTTTAAAAAAAAAAAAAAAAAGGAAAAGAAAGATTGAGCTTCTTCTGTTCCACTCCCAGATGCCACTTGTTTATACGCAGTGCAGAAGGCAGGGTAGGGTGTTTGTTTCTATTCTTTGTGCAGGTGTAAAACAGTTAAGGCTTAGGATGTTTTGACAAATGCAAACTTCCTTTGCTTAGTGTCTGACAGGTTTTATTTATAACCCTTTCACCTAGATTGGGGGATGGTATCTATGATACCTTCATGATGATAGATGAAACCAACTGCTCACCCTGTCCAAAAACACTCTGCAATCCTTCTGAAGCTCCTCAACCCAGAAGACTGAATGTAAGTAAAGGAAGTAACTCTTGGTTATAATTGTGTTGGGAAGGAGGAAGTGCTCCATGTTCAAGGTGCAGTTATGTATCTCTGGCAACACAGACTCTCTTAGTTTCCTTTTGGTTTCTCCTGACTTGGGAAAAAACAGTTTCTGTGGTTTGAGTTCAGCTTTTCAGAAGTTTTGATTTGATACTTTTTTCTTCTAGTTTCTACTGGGATGGATATGGCACTAGGGAAAGATGCTGTTTTTATTTAGGTAATGTTTATTTTTACAGAGGATGATGTATACTGAGTATTATAAATGCTCCTTTTAACAAAAACAACAGAAAAAACCCTCAGAATTTATAGACCAGCTCAATTTTCCACTTATCAGTATATCAAAGTCCTGGCTTATCAGTATGTGAAAGAACTGTCTTATAACTCATAAATTAAACTTAATACAGCTTAACCATACTCCAGGGGAAAGACAAGCCAAGGCTATTTAGGGGACGCAAACTCTATAGGCCTTAAGAAAAAATAATAGAGAATATGACAAGCGGGAAAGGTAGGTAGGGTGATAGATCTGAGAGGAAGGGGATGGTTCTCATATGATCAAAATACATTCTATGAAATTTTCAAAGAATCAGTAAAAATAGAGCTTGGTTTCTGCTACGTTTAATCATCTTAGCTCTGCAGACGCCTGGCTTTTGTCACTTTGTCTGCATTGCATCAGTGTGTGCAGAGTCTGCCTGTGACTTGTAAACTTACTACGCACGTCATCACGATCCTGAATAGCTAAACTGACTGTTGTCATTTTCTCTTTCACATTTCTCTTTAAATTGAGAATTTTTCCTTTTTTATTTTATTTTGTAATTTACTTTTTAGGGAGTAGGTTGGAGAACAGGGTCTCACTATGTAGCCCTGGCTGACCTGGAACTCACTGTGTAGGCTGGCTTTGAACTCACAGAGATCCACTTACCCTGTCTTCTGAGTGCTGGGATTAAAGATGTGCCCCACAACACTGGGCAGGAATTTTACTTTTTAAAAAGTTACATTTATTTATTTCTGCATGTGTGCGTATGTGTGGATGTGTATGTTCCATAGAGTGCTTGTGGCGGTCAGAGGACAACTTGGAGTTGGTTCTTTCCTTCCATCATGTGGGTCCTGGGGAATGAACTCAGGTCTTTAGCCTTAATGGCAAGTGCCTTTACCCACTGAGCCTCTTGTCAGCCCTGGAATTGTTTCTATACGGAAAAAATTACTTGTAGTTTTTATAGTCTTTCCTAAGTTTTCATGTTTCATGGTTTTGCTATTAAAAAAAAAAACCTTTTTACTGCTTTCAAGGCCAATAATATTACAAAGCATGATCTAAAAATATTTGGAAATCTGGTCACACTGCTTTTAATTTATTCTGGCATGCGGGGCTCCTTCCTTGTGAGTTAAGAACTCCAGTAATGTCTCTGTGGGACCATCAGATTTCTCAGTCAGCACACAACTCTCAATGGGAAACTTTCTGTAACTGATCTGCTATGTTAGCATCTGACTTTAAGCTCATTTAACTTTAACTCAGAGTTGGTCCTTTCTTAACTCCTCATTTGTCACTCAGATTGTATTTCAGGGCCAAAATTAATATCTTACTCCATTTGTTCAGGGTAGTGACAGTTTTGGGGAAGCACAAAATTTCAGACTCTAATCAATGATGTCATTGCAAACGTCCCCCCCTTCTTTGGATTTCCATGTGTACACGCACACATTTTTGGATGCGTGTGGGTATGTGTGCATTTGCATGTGGAGACCAGAGGTTGGTGTCTGTAATTATCTTCCATTTTTCACCATCTTCACTGAGGCAGAGTCTCACATCAAGAACTCATGGAAATGGTGGTGTTGCTGGCCAGCTTGCTCTGGGGATCTCCTGTCTTTGCTTTCGGAGACTGGAATTACAGGCAGGCCACCACATCCACCTGGCATTTACATGGATTCTGAGGATCTGAACTTGGGTCCTCACACAAGTACTTCAACCTGAGCCATCTCTCCAGTCCCTGCCAGTGCAAACTTGGCTGGAAAAAAAAATGGCTTTGACCTCTTGGGAGCACCTAACAGTTTATAAAGCTGTGACCTACAATGCCATCCTTAGTCCTTGTTGGTCTTTGCACAGCATTTTCTACTCTTATTGCTTGTTCAAGGTGCTTGCATATTCTTGTTCTAAACTGTAAATTATCCGCCAACAAGCTTTTATTGGGTCAAGTTCTGTGTTGCAGGGATTTGGGGTAAGGAGCTGGGTGAAGCGTAGGGTTTTTTTGTTTGTGTTTTATTTTGGCAGTGCTGGGGATTGAACCCAGGGCCTCATACAAGCTAGGTAAATATTCTACCAACTGAGCTTCATCCTTGGCCCCCAAAGGTAGGTTTTTATATTTGGATGAGGTTATTCCTTATGAATTTCTCAGGATTTTTTGGACTCAATACATTTTATTTGAAATATACCATGCCCTCCAAATTGTGCATATGAAATATTCTTGGGATTTAAAACAGGGTTACTCTGGCAGGTCTGTTTCTTGTATATAATTACATGGTTAACAAAATACTTGGTTGAGTCCATTGTGTGCATACTTGATTATCATGATTATAACCCTAGACTGTTTCATAACTATTAGTATTTTATATGTGAATATTATAGATTGAGAAAATAGAAGGAAAGTTATTATAGTACAGAAGATTTTGTGTATAATTGATTTGGATCAGGATTTAAGTTATTTACAAGAAAAGGAAGAATAAGGAAAGAACCCCTCCCTATGTGGAAAAATCTTTCCTGCAATTTTCTGGGTTTGTTGGAGATTTGAACTCTGATATAGCGAACTATACCTGAAGTGTATTTTCTGTCCTAGAAGCCACACTCAGGAAGGGCATACAGTGTATCCCAGAGAATGTGGACAGGCTGGTGAGAAAGCCTGTGAAGTTCCTGAGGGCAAAGCAGGACTTAATTTGTAAGCAGTGTGAGTAAGGCTCGCTCTAAGGAAAAACTGGGAGTCAGGAGTCCATTGGCATCCTTAGTTTTATTACAATTCTGTGGAAATTAGACTTCAGTTAAATATTTGTTCTTATTAATGTGTGGTGCCTAAGATCCTCTCTTTATCACAAACAGAAGTGAAGACCTTCAGAGCCAGCACAGCCTTCCATTAGGCAGAGAAATTCCCAGGGACAGACAGACCTGGACCAACAGATACCTTTGCTACCAACTTGTCATTGATGACTGCAATTCCTAGAGAGACATTCCTTTGAGTTAAGGCAGTGATTTCCTGTTAAAGTTCAAATATTCAAGACTGGAGAGCTGGCTCAGCAGCTAAGAGCACTGGCTACTCTTGCAGAGGACCTGGATTCAAATCCCAGCACCCACATGGTAGCTAACAACAGTCTGTAACTCTAGTTCCAGGGGATCTGATGACCTCTTTTGACCTCTGTGGGCATTGCATGACACAGGTACACTTACACATATGCAGGCAATAACCTCATACACATAAAATAAAATAATAAAATATTGTAAAGTTCAAATATTTCTGGAACGGTAACACTAAATTGAATAGGAAGTAGAAAGCAGGGGTAAAGAGGATTAGGTGTTTCTGTGCAAAGGCCTATGGCGGGGTCCTTCTTTGGGCAGAAAGCATAGATCTTCAGTAGAGGGGGCCTGTAGATGTGGTGGAAGCCACCATAGAAAGGGGAGAGAACTCAGCGGGGTAAAGGGAGGGATGGTGTGGGGGGATTTAGTTGTCATGGACCGATGCTTAGTTTTGGCACAGTGGCACATGCTTTTAATCCCAGCACTTGAGAGGCAGAGACAAGCAGATCTCTGTGAGTTCAAGGCTAGCCTAGTCTACATAATAAGTTCCAGGCCAGCTGGGGCCATAGGGAGATCTCAAAAACTAAAACCAGCCAAACAAAAAAGAATGCTTGTTTTGATTTGTTTGGTACAGGTGCCAAGTATTGAACAGTAAGTGTGGTGACTGTGGGTGGATGAATGAATGGAACTCAACTTCTGATTTTTCATGTCTATAGATAACTATAGTTATTTAACTTAATTATTGGTAAGAAAAATGCATTGCATTTATTTTAACAAGGTATTGTGTCTTTGCCTACAGGCCTATTTATTTCGCTAATGAGAATTCTTTGATTGGTGTTAGAGAAACACCAGTCTGGTCTCTTTGCAGCTAAATGAGAAACTGTTGCTGTAGTTGAACTGATGGCTTTACATATGTTTAAGATGTGTAGTATCCCTCATTGCTGTAACTACCAATATTTAAATTGATTAAATGACATAAAAGGAACAGGCAGGAATTAAGTACTGCTTTTATAACTAGGTCAGGGGCTATCTGAGATATGACAATACTTAGTTTTTAAAATTCTTTTTATTATGTTTTCATTTTTCACTTATTTTGGTAATATATAAATATAATTTGGTTTTCTGATGTTATATTAAAATTCTATTTATTTTGGTTTTACTACTTCCCAACTTATATTTTGAAGGATTATAACTAGAGGCTAGAGCTCCTCTAGAATTATACCAGCTACTGGTGGCCCTCTGACATTGTCTAAGATAGCATCCATTGGGAAAAATAGTCCTTCTAAATATCCTAGGCTTTAAAAAAATTTTTTATTGAATTTTTGTGTATTTCATGCAGAACATTTTAATCACTTTTATACACCTTTCCTCATTGGCCTCCTCCTATAGCCACCACCCCCAGTGGAATTCATACACTGTCATTTGTGTTAAGGCCTATCATGTCAAGTTAGTGTCCTCAGACATCCCTCAGTACAAGTTCATCCACTGAGGTCTAGTCGGCATATCTTGAGTCCCTGCCTTTAAGAAGATCAGTCCTTCCTCACCCAGCAGTAATCATCTGCTGATAATTCTTTTGACTAAGATTGGGGCCTGCTTCCCATTTCCACAGTTCTGAGCTGGGTTTTTGTTTGCTTGAGATTGCATGGGTCTTGTTCATGCTAACACTGTTGCTGTAGGTTTGTTCATATGAGAAGGGTCCCAGGAACCTGTGGAACTCTGTTTCCATATGGTCATGCATCTCCTCCCTGGCTCTTACAGTCTTTCCACCCCCTCTTCCACAGTGGTCCCTGAGTTCCGTTTTAATATAGGAGTCCTGTTCAAGGACCCGTGCTCTGTAGACTCCTATTCTCTACTTTTTGGCCATTTGTGACCTTTTGTGTTCTTGGCCCTCTGTTGCATGAGGGAGCTTCATTGATAAGAATTGAAAGATGCGTTAGTGTTCTCTTCATCCCTTGTTCTATGTTCTGTGACTAGGTTTACATACCACATGAGTTTCCTCTCATTGAGTAGATTTTAAGATCAATTATGTAGCTATTGATTATCCCCAAGATAAAAGTGCCACAACTGCACCCATGTTGTTTACTGTGCCAGTCATTGATGTGGTTATTAGACCTTGAAGCTGGTGTAACTTTTTTTTTTAAAGGAAAAGTATTCAACATTTTGTCTTTATAGCCTTTTTTCTTTCTTTTTTTTTTTTAGTCTAGGGCCTCCCTATAGCCCCAGCTGTCCTGGAACTCACTATGTAGACCAGGCTGGCCTTAAACTCACAGAGATCCGCCTGCCTCTGCCTCCCGAGTGCTGGGAATAAAGGCGTGCACCACCACGCCTGGCCCTATAGCTTTTTTTTTTTAAACATCATTTTTTTCCTTTGTTTTATTTAAAAAAAAATTGTATGTATTTGAGATGTACACTACGATGTTTTGATATATGTAGTGAAATGACTATATTGTCAAGACAGGCAGCCTATCAGCATCTTACAGGTTGCCCTTTTATACTAATACTAATTTTTTAGGTGTTTGGTTATTTTTGTATTTCATTCCCTTTATCTTATTTCAGAGAATTCCGTTTCCATTCACAGACTCCTATTTCAGTTCAGAGGAATAAATGGAACTTTTTTCTGTGGGTTATTGCCCCTCAGAACCTGAGAACTGAGTAAAGGTGGTCCCTTATCACCAGGCTCTTACCCTAAGGCTCTTGAATTCTTTGTTATTTATCAGATACCTGAGGAACTGGGCCAGATGATCTCAAGTTTCTCTGGCTAAGATTTGTGATTTAATGAAGACTGCAGGGATGTGAGGGCCTGGGAGTCCAGGTGGCCTTTGCTGGTTCCAGGCCATATTTAGCATTCAGCTCTCCTGTACACACCAAAACCCTGGTGGTAAGTCATAGTAATAGGAGGAGCCCTGGGCTGAGAGACAGAGAACCTAGGTTCAAATCCTGTCTCTGACACTCACTAGTACAAAATTGTTTGCAGAACACTTTAATATGTGCTATTTTGAGCATATGGTGATGCATGCAGGAGGTTAAGGCTGATGGATCACAGCAAGTTCAAGACTACCCTAGGCTACATAGTAAATTCAAGGCCAGCCTGGGCTACATAGTGAGACCCTGTTTCAGATATCTCCCCTTCCCAGTGCACTATTTTGATCCTGCTATGGTGGTCTTAAGGTTTAGGAAGATAAAACAGGTGTAGTGGTGCACACCTTTAATCCTAGCACTTGGGAGGCAGAGGCAGGTGAATCTCTGAGTTTGAGGCCAGCTTGGTCAACATAAGCCAGCCAGGGTTACATAGTGAGACTCTGTCTTAAAAAAAATTGGGGGGAAGATAATTGAAACAAGTAGTAGACAATGTACAACAATATCTATTATGGCAAATTATGTGGCATAGACTGGAAAAACTACTGTTAAAATAGGAAATTAGGTGACTTTCGAGATGGTAAAGTCACTTGCTACCAAGTCTGATGATCTGAGTTCAACTCCTGGGATCCACATGCACATGGTGGAAGGAGAGACCTGGCTTCTGCAAATTATCCTCTAAGAAACAACACATGCATGTTGGGGCACACACTGCGCCCCTCCCCAAGAATAGGTATAATAAAAATATGAGACTAATTAGTATGATAATAGAAGAGAGAAGACTAAAACTGGATCTTGAAGATGTAACATGTTGAATGGATTGGGCAAAGGCTAAAGGATTCTCAGTTCAAAGACCTACGAGAAGGAACATAGCATGTGGAAGGGGTGGTAAGACGGTTACCTTGTCTTGAACAAAGCTGGGCATGTGTTGGGATTGGTGTGGTTGTAGTATTGAGGGAATCCAAGGATTAGTGTAGTACAAGTCTTGAGAGACTCTTTCTTATTTCTGTTTTGGGGATCCCTTCTCCTTCTCCCTCCCTGTCTCTGTCTCTTTTGTATATGCTTGTATGTGGAGAGAGAGAGAGAGAGAGAGAGAGAGAGAGAGAGCGCTTGTTAGCCACAGGAGAATGTCAGGTGTCCTGAACCTGGAGCTATGGTGGTGGCCAGGAAGGCTCAGTAAACCACCCCCAACCCTGCCCAAGCACTGGGGTTATAGACACATGAGCAGCTTTTAATGTGGCCACTGGGATCTGAACTCAGGTCCTCATGCTTGAACTGCAAGCACTCTTACCCACTAAGCATCTCCCCAGATCTCTATTTGGGTCTTTAAACTTTAAAATAAATGTGACTGACCTGTTTTGATGTTGTTCAGCTAAAGGGAGAGTCTTTTCATCCTTCTAGCATCTCTAGTGACTTTAACACTGTACATTTCTCTTTCATAGATTATCACTGAGCAATTAACACGAGATCATACTCAGCACTTTGTGAATGGAGGTGAGATGAAGGTAGAGCAGCTGTTTCAAGAATTTGGTAGCAGAAGATCCAATACTCTTCAGTCAAATGGCATCGACAGCTCTGAAAAATCTTCTGTTTCACAGGGGACAAGTTCAGAAAGCCTGAATACAGTGAAATCCAGCAGTTCCTCCAAACTCCCTAAAGTGGTGCCTCTGACTCCCGAGCAAGCTCTGAAGCAGTATAAACATCACCTCACTGCTTATGAGAAGCTGGAGATCATCAGCTACCCAGAAATCTACTTTGTGGGTCCAAATGCCAAAAAACGACAAGGAGTTATTGGTGGTCCCAATAATGGGGGATACGATGATGCAGATGGGGCTTATATTCATGTACCTCGAGACCATCTGGCTTACCGTTATGAGGTGTTAAAAATTATTGGCAAGGGGAGTTTTGGACAGGTGGCCCGTGTCTATGATCACAAACTTCGACGGTATGTGGCCCTAAAAATGGTACGCAATGAGAAACGCTTTCATCGTCAAGCAGCTGAGGAAATCAGGATTTTGGAACATCTTAAAAAACAGGATAAAACTGGTAGCATGAATGTTATCCACATGCTAGAAAGTTTCACTTTCCGGAACCATGTGTGCATGGCCTTTGAATTGCTAAGTATAGACCTGTATGAACTCATTAAAAAAAATAAGTTTCAGGGTTTTAGCGTCCAGTTGGTTCGCAAGTTTGCTCAGTCCATCTTGCAATCCTTGGATGCTCTTCACAAAAATAAGATCATTCACTGCGACTTGAAGCCAGAAAACATTCTCCTGAAGCACCATGGGCGCAGTGCAACCAAGGTCATTGACTTTGGGTCCAGCTGCTTTGAGTATCAGAAGCTCTATACATACATCCAGTCTCGTTTCTACAGAGCTCCAGAAATCATCTTAGGGTGCCGCTACAGCACACCTATTGACATATGGAGTTTTGGTTGCATCCTTGCAGAGCTTTTAACAGGACAGCCTCTGTTCCCTGGAGAGGATGAAGGAGACCAATTGGCCTGCATGATAGAGCTGCTAGGGATGCCACCACCAAAACTTTTGGAGCAATCCAAACGTGCCAAGTATTTTATTAACTCCAAGGGCTTACCTCGCTACTGCTCTGTGACAACTCAGGCAGATGGAAGGGTTATACTTGTGGGGGGCTGCTCACGCAGGGGTAAAAAGCGGGGTCCCCCAGGAAGCAAAGGCTGGGGGACAGCACTGAAAGGGTGTGATGACTATTTGTTCATAGAGTTTCTGAAAAGATGTCTTCAGTGGGACCCCTCTGCCCGCCTCACCCCAGCTCAAGCATTAAGACACCCTTGGATTAGCAAATCTGTACCCAGACCTCTCACCATGGACAAGGTGTCAGGAAAATGGGTAGTTAATCCTACAAATACTTTCCAAGGACTGGGTTCCAAGCTGCCTCCAGTTGTTGGAATAGCCAGTAAGCTTAAAGCTAACCTAATGTCTGAAACCAGTGGTAGTATACCTTTGTGCAGTGTATTGCCAAAGCTGATTAGCTAATGGATCACTCAGCAATGCATATGTATGTATTTTTAATTACCTTGCAAACATGCAAATGGAAAAAATTCAAGCCCATTCATTGATGGATATGTTTTTGTTAGGCTAAACTTTTTTTTAACAAGGCGGAACATTTTTATATGAATATAAAAGAACTCTTCAAGTGCTAATTATCTAACCAGCTTGTATTGGCCATCTGGAGTATACATTAAATGACTTTTTATAGGTCAGTGCATCTTTGTTATTATTGTCAGAGGTACTTGAAAACTATATATTACTCTATTGGTTTAAGTCTTTTTCTTTCAGGATAGAAGATATTCTAAAAATATATGCTGACTATTCCTCACATGTCATCTTCCTCAGCATCGATTCTGGAAGGATAGTTTGGGATGTGGTAGTCTTGGATGAGAAGCAGAGCTAAAACTTTTGCCACAGCGGGCCATTCTGTGGGCTGAAAAAACAACAGAATATGGGGTTGCGAAGCATCTCAAAGCTGTTTTTCATCTGGACAGTGTCACTGCTTTTCAGTTCTTAATTCTCTGATGCATTCATGGTGTTTTATGGTATTGTCTTTATTTTGCCTCATTTATTTCCTGGGTACTCAAAGTGATTTACAGGTACCATCACTTTACCAAATAACCCTGAAGGTATTGCTGTGGTTTGGGTAAGTCTTTCCCAAAGGCCAATGTGTTAAATATTTGTTCCCTAGCCCTTGACATGGGAATTGATGGAATCTTTAAGAGGTGGGCCCTGATGTTAAGTGTTAGTTCATTGGAGCATGCTCTTAAAGAGGACTATGGGACCTCTCTTCCTCTTTTTTTTTTTTCGGTCTTTTTGAGACAGGGTCTCCCTGTAGCCCCAGCTGTCTTGGAACTCACTATGTAGACCAGGCTGGCCTTGAACTCACAGAGATCTGCCTGCCTTTGCCTCCCAAGTGCTGGGACTACAGGCATGTGCCACCACACCCGGCTTCTTCCTCTTTTAACTCTTGGCCTGATGGTTCCTTCACTTGATAGTGAATGGCTTTGCTCTGCCATGTACACCACTGTGATGTGATACCTCAGGCTTAAAACAACAGGGCCAGTCAATGGACTGGAATCTCTGAATTGAGCACCACAACAGATCTTTTCCATGTATGTTCATTTATCTCAGGTATTTGTTACAGTGATGGAAAGCTAGCACAGATACTGATTTTGCAGCCCACTCATATGCATACATTCTTCCTCTGCCATCTCAAAAGATTACTTTTTGTCTTAAATGACCCAGAGTGTACAAAGTAGAATCAGCATGAAAACTGCAGTTCCTGACTCCTTGGTCATCTGTGCCAGCCTACCTGTTGCATTATCCTGTACTTTAAGAAATGATCACTGTCAGGTAAGCTTGCTGCAGTTTAAATGCTCTTAATGCACCAACCACACTTTCACTTTAAACTTGCAGCACTTCCCAGGACTCTGAGTGTGCTCTATTTGTAAGAGACTATTTGAAACTGGTGATAAGATATTTCACTGCTTGTGTTCCCTTCAGCAACCTTTCTTTCTCTAAGATTTAAAGCTGAACAGTGAAAGTTGGCAGTGTGAGCAACTGTTAGCCAGATGTCTTACTGGAAGGATGGAGAAGGGGCAAGAACCACGCAACTCACTGCTGCTGATTCTTATTTTTGCTTTTCCTGTCTTGTCTTCTGTTTTCCTCTGGAACAGACATGTACCCAAATTCTGTCCTGAGCATTGCTCTTCAGAATAAAGTGTAAGATCGGAAGTGAGCTTCTTTCTTTGGGTGCCACAGTGATGAGAAGAGAAGAGGAAGCCCTAGGCTTTTTACTTAAGGAATTTTGGCCTTATCCAAAAGCATTTGTGACTGCCAAAGCCCAGGTGTGGAAAGTGAGGCTAAACACCTCTCCCATCTAGCACAAGGGCCACAGGCAAGCAGACTCAGGCTGTGCCACTTCCAAAGGAGAAAATCTTGGTACTTTTGGTACCAAGATCATTCAAACTTAATTTTGTATAATCTTGTTCAAAGAAGGAAATACACAGTTGCTTTAGAATGCTGTAACTGACTGGATTTTTTCACTGCTGGAGAAATTAGATCTTTCCTGTTATCTAGACAGCAGATGTTGAGCTGGTTCTGCCTGTTATCAGTGTGGAAAATGTGTTCTCCTGAGCAGACAGTTGCAAGGTCACTTCCCCAAGCGACACACTGGGTCTTGATGTTTGTTTTCATGAGCTGTCTTGGTCAGCCAGCACTGAGTCTGAAGTCTGGAGACAGAGAGAGGCTAGCCTGCACTCTTTCTGTGAGTGGGCTGTGAGGTCACTGAAATTGAGCTGGGTGAAAGGTTATAGACCACCATGCTTTATACAAGCTATAGAAAGTTCTAGAGAGGGGAATGGGTACATCTCTGTCTAAACTTGGCTACTCAGAAAGTGCTGCAGAGCAGAGTCATTGGCATTGGCTGGCCTGCCTTCTGCAGTGACTCAGGGTGGGGACAGTATGCTTGTTTTCAAACATAGTACTGGCTATTACTAATGAATTTGAGGAGATTTGATGGTGGCTTTCAAATTCAGGAGCAAGTTGTGTTTTTAGAGCCTGTTACCTTCTGTCTCCCTTTTAGCACCAAGACCTCTGCCCAGCCACAACAGTTGGCTGCAGTGATGAAGGCTGTCTTAAATTACTGGATTGTTCTCTGGCAATTTTTGTACCATCCATTTTAGTTCAACAGATCAAATTAGTTGCCTTACTAATTTCTAAATTGAATTGAAAATAATTCAATTTCCATATTGTTATCAACATAGTGAAAGTTCAGTAAGAATTGTTTTATTTCATTTCTAAGATAACATTTTTTTCTTTCAGCATGGGAAGTTAGCTAACTCACCTAATGCTCGATCATCATATTAGACTGTTGTACCTATATTCTCACATCATGTGCAGTCATGATTTCTCCTTAGCATGCATGTGAGCTACAGACTACAGGCATGTTTTCATGAAGCTCTGAATTAACTGACTGTGTATAGACCATGCTCATTCATCTTATTCCAATATGTAACTAAGCCTGGGCTCACCTTATAATCTGACCTGTATACTCTGATGTCTTCTCTTGGGTAAGATGAGGGTTACATGAGGTTACTTCCTTCTGGCCCATTGGCAGTCACAGCTAGCTTGGTAATAATGTAAAGGAAAATACAGCCATAACCTACTTATGGTGGAAGGATTCTACATCTGATAGGGGTGAGAACAGAGGAAATTCGCTCAGGACTGTATTAGTGTACTTTATTCCTAGGTATAGAAGGGCCTTTGGGGGCAGATGGTTAACTGGCTAATGTTACATTTTAGTTTGATGATATTTAATCTGTTAAGACAGGGTTGGTTATGTAGCCATAAACCAAATATTACTTTCAACTAGGAAATAGTTTCGAACTGTAGCCAGTTGGTCATGTTGAAATACTTTTCTGTTTTGCTTAGTTTCCAATTAGGTATAATTAAAGTTCAATGTTGAATTTTAGATAGCAGTTGATAAGTAGTTCTAAGGTTTCCTGACAAAATACTCCCACTGCTTTAGAGAATCTTGGGAAACTCTTTGTTTTTAATTCTTTCTTTTGCATCTGTTATCTAATGCCATTAACACAAAAGGTAGGAAGGTAACAGGGTATGCTTTTTTCCCTCTGGGAATTAAAGCTAAGTATATATCCTTTCAAGCAGGTAGAAGGCCCTGTCATGTCTTCCTTCAGCTTCTCAGCCTCACCAGAGATGAACAGTATGCAGTGTGCTAACCTCCTGTATAAGAGCAAGGGCAGACAGCCAAGAAAGGGATACCTGCGTCTGTATAGCGGCACAGTGAGAAAGTGCCAAGGATTAGCAAATCCAGGAAGAGTTGTACTCTACTGGGAATCTGCCTCCTGCTTTTCAAAAGCTTTTTCAGTTTCCTTATTTCAGCTCATCCTTCTTGACAATGTTATACTGCCTGGAGTCCAGGAACTTAAAAATACTTTACTTCTGAACCTGAACCGAGGCACCCCTTTCCGGTTCTCTTGAATTGTGTCTACTAGTTTCAATGAGCAAAATTTCTTCTCAAGTGTCATCGCGAACTCATTCATGTAAGGCTTCAAAGCTCTGTAGTCCCAGGGATTCATATCCCCCGAAATAAACCAGAGGTACAAATAGAGTGTCTAGACTTTGAAGGAGATGGTCTACTTCTTAATATAGCTCATTCACTGCTACACTCTAGTCCCTGTGGTGAGCAGAGACTTCACTTCCTCTACCACCATACAAGCAGACCAAAAAGAAAACAGCCATAAATTAGGCCTAATGGTGATCTGTGGCTACTTCAGTTCTGAACTCAGCCTCTTAAAGTTTGGGTTTGAGTCACTTTGTTGTCACAGGATTCCATCATTGTTCATTTTAGTCTGTGACTAGCTTCCTCTGGAAAATGCAACTTGGCATTGAGTCACTGTTAACCCTTCCTAGGTGGTTTTGTTGTTGTTTAAGTGAAAATCAATTGCTGTGAGAATTTTATAGCATCTAGCATTTGAGTGTTTCAGAGCCAAGGCAGAAAACAGTCCTGGCACATCCTAAACACCCTAATTCAAGTGTCTTATTGAGGGTGGGGGTGGAGAACCAGCCACTCTAGATTATTGGGGCTGTGTTCAGGTCTAGCCTCTGGCTTGATGGCAGTGACAAAGAGAGTGCTCAGCAAAGGGGAGCTGGGAAGGAAAAATGAACCAGAGAAGCCCCTCAGAGACTCAGGTAATAGTCCTGTCAGTGCCTAGAGCTGCTATGGCTAGTTTGGTTTATAAAGCCTGCCATGGCCTGGAGAGGACATGAGTGCTCATGAATGACCATCTCCTGGGGATCCCTGACTGTCAGGTTTCCCACTGGAACCATCACATGTCCCCCAGGGCCCAAGCTTTGTTTGCTGACAAACAGCTACAAGGAATACAGTTTGTTGGCAAGTTTGGAGTTTTTAGGCCTGGGCCCTGATCTGTGGGGATCTGAGAATTGAATAAATGGGAGAGGGGAAACAGTGTGGGAGGGGTCTGCAGGCAGCTCTGCTTCAGCCTGCTTTTTTTCTCATCTGTCCTGAGCCACACTATTGGCCTGGCAACAGAAGCTAATTGGACAGTGAACTAAGAGGCTGCCTTCTGCCACCCTTGAATTGTCCCCCTGTTTTCTGTCTATCCAGAGCCTGGCCTAAAGCTGGATCTCTCGTACTCCAGTGAAGCGACTGAATGTGGAAGAAACTCACTG